TTTATTTCCCCTTTTTTAAGTCCGATGGACGGGTTCTTTCGAAATTCCCGATTGCCTTTTATCACGCCTTTTTCCAAAATTTTTAAATTTAACCCCCCCCCTTTTTGCTTTCGAATTTTTCCCCCTTTTTTCGGGAAATTTGTATGACGTTTTTGACTGGGAAAAACGTTTTGGTAAATTTTGGGCATTTCTTTTTTTCAAAAATCGCGAACTTTCCGAGTTTTAAACGCGTCCCGGTTTTTCCGGGTTTTTAAAAAACTGGTATTTTTTGGTTTAAAAGTTTGATCCCAGCATTTTCCAAAGTTTTTTGTCAGTTTTTCCCCATTCCGTTTTTACGATTTCCAAAATTCAAGGTCCCACGCCCCCCGGCCGTTGCGGGGTTTTAAAAGGTTTAAACTCTTGGGGCCCTCTGTTATCTAAGAAAACCGTCTGCGACCCTTTATTTTTTAAAAATTTTTTTCCACGCACTTTCCCCAGTTTTTTCTCTTTGGTTTAAAAAAAGTTCCCGTTTTTACCCCTCCCGTTTCATGCACGATGTTTTTGGAATTGGATCCTGCTTTGGTCTTGGGGACAATTTCCTCGGGAAAAAACTAGAGGAATTTACAAATGTGTCCCAGATACGCGAGGGTTTTTCCTTTTGGGATGCGCTTTTTCAAAAATTTATCCCAAAACTGGGGGGGTTGGCTTCTTTTCCCTCGCCTTTTAAGGGAAAAAACAATGATTTTTACATTTTTTTCTCTAAATTTTTTTTTAGATCCGAATTTTTAAAGTGTGAATAAGGTTATAATTTTTTGTTTTACCGATTTTTCAAATTTTTTCGCCCGCCCGTCGACGTGACCTTTCAAAAAACTGCCAATGCGTCCCCCAACCCAAAAAAGGGTTGTGCGCCTCATTTTTAAAAATTGAAAAGAGAAATAAAAAAAAGAAAAAATAAAATTTTAAAAGGAAAAAAAAAAAACGAAAAAAAAATAGAAAAAAAAATCTAGAAAGGGAAAATTTTTAGGGAAAAGAAAAAAAATGATTATCAAACCCAAAAAATAGTTTTTTGTTTAACAAAATCTCGGAACTTCTTTTCCATTTTATATACAAGAGTTTTTGATGCAAAGGTGCTCATTTTTATATGGGTTCCCAGGGCTGGGGGGGAAAAAGTACAAAAAATTGATCGTTTCGAAATTTAAAATATTTAAAAAGTTTCGGGCCAAACATCACCCCATTTTTATATTTTTGGGGGGTAAATATGCCTTTTGTTTTCAAATTAAAAAGAGTTTTTGAACTATTTGGGGAAAGATTTTGATAAAAAAATAAAATTGCGCGTATTTCAGTAAAGAAACTTACTCTGAAATTTATGTGGATTTTTTTGGTTGAAATTTGGGGATTTTTCTTTGTTTTTCCTTTGGGCCCTTTAGTTTTGGGTTTTTAAAATATTTTTCCCCCAATTTTTTAAAAAAATTATTTCGCTAAAAATTTAAGGGCAGTTTATTCAAGATTTGGAATCTTCATTTTTGAATCCCGTAAAAGTTTTAAAAATTTTTAAAAATCAATTTTGGTTTTTAAAAAAACTTTAAAATTTACCAAAAGATTTGCCCAAAAGGTTTTTTAAAAAAATTTATGAAACCAAAAAATCCAAATTTAAAAAATGGGAGTTTTTTTTTTTGGGGTAAAGGGCCCAAGAAAGGGTGTTTTTTTTGGGTAATTTTTTTAGGGGGGTGAAACCCCTTTTTTTTCCTGTTCCCAATTTTTAAACCTGAGAAAAAAAATATTTTAAAAATTCAATTTTTTTAAGACTAACATTTTTAATTTTTTAATTTAAGAATAGGAAAAAAAAAGTTTTATTCAATTTCTTTTTTTAAAAAAAATCTTTTGCTTTAAAAATACATTTGAAAAATTTTTTTTTTTGACTATTCCCTTTTAAATTTTAATTAAAATTTTTAAATTTTTATTCTATTTTTTTTTTCTTTTTTTCCTTTTTTGTACAAATTTTGTTATTTAAAATTTTCCCTTTTTAATTTTTGATCCATTTACCCTTTTTTTTGTAAATTTGTTATATTTTTGTTTTTCACACCCCGTTTGGGGTTTAGTAAAACAAAAAAATTTAAACTTAGAAAAAAAAAAAAAAAAAAAAAAAACATTTTTAAAAAGGGTTTCTTTTTCTTAGGGAAAGACATTTTTATTTAAATTTTTTTTAAAATTTATTTGCCTTTTTATACAAAAGACCGGTTTTTGAATTTTTTTTTGTTTTTTTTTTTTTTGTTTGTTTGTTTTTTTCCTTTAATTTTTAAAAATTTGTTTTTTCTATTTTTAACACTTTTTTTTTAAAGGTTTATTAAAATTTTTATCTATCGAGAAAAAGTAATAAAATTTTTTGGTTTTTCAAAAAGAAACAGATCAATTTGGGTTTTTTTAAATTTTTGCAAGGAAATTTTTTATTAGCTACTATTTATTTAAATTTTCCGGGTCTTTAATTTAAAAAAGTATTATAAAAAATCAGCTTCATTTTAACAAAAATTTTTTTATAAAAAAATAGGTTGTAATTTAATTATCAAAAACAAAAAAAACAAAAAAAAATACAAAAAATGTAAAAAAAAAAATTTAGCTATAACAAAGAGCGAAGAAAATTTAAATTTTAAAAAATCAAAAATTAAAAATTAAAAAATATTTTCACCCCTTTTTCTCAAAATATAAATGTCACATAGGAAAAAACTTTTAAAATTTTTTTAAAAACAAGATTTCGAAAATTCTTCCGTTCCCCAAAACAAATTTAAAAAATATCCCAAAAAGATTCGCGGAAAAAAAACGGGCCCCTTTTTATCCGCAAATTTCAATCATTTTACACTTGAAAACAAAAAATTTTTTATTTTTTGTATTCCCATTCTTGTTTAAAGGGTTTTTTCTTTTTTATAATGGAAATTTAAAAAAAACCTTTTTTTTCTATTTTTTTTGAAAATCCCCTATTTGTTTTTTTTCCCAATTTTCAATTTGGTATATTTGGGGGTTAAACCCAATTTACCCCCGGTTTTTATACAAAAACTTAAAAATCCATCAGTGTGACTATAAATTTAGGGGGCCATGGGGAAAACGCAAAAAAAAAAGGGAATTTTTCCCAAAAATTTTTTTTCCCACGTTCATTTATTCCTTAAAACCCCTTTTATTTTTAAAAAAAACGGAAACGTTTTAGTGGAAAACATACAAAACAAACTCGCATGTTAACTTTTCGCGAAACTTTTTGCTTAAACAACCATTTTATGGGGGTTAAAATTGGGCCAATGAATGCCCAAAATATATTTAAATTTTAAATTTTTTTGAAAAATGGGTGTTTAAAATTTTACTTTTTTTATTTTTTACATATATAATAAAAATTTAAAATTTTTCAAAAAAGATTTTTCCCAAAAACCCCATTTATTTTAAAAATTTATTTTGGGGAAAAATTTGTCTCATTTGACTTTTTACAAATCAAAAAAAGAAAAAATAAATAACCCCCTAATTTTTTCCCTCTTTTAGTTTTTGGACTTCCCCGAAACAAAACCTTTCAGGCGTTTTTGAAGGTGGGGGTTTCTTTTCCCAAATAGACCTCGGCCACCTCCGTATCAAACAAAGGAAAATTTTTCCAAAAGAAATGACCAAAATATTGAACACCAAGAGCCTTTGGCTTCTTCTGCAAAATTTCCGAAATTTCCTCACGTGAAATTCGCGCTTGGATCTAAATTGTGAGGATTTAAGTATTTTCCTGTAATAATAGCGAGGAAAATGTGTAATTTTAGCATAATATACACTTGTACGAGTAATTACGAGTATGTTTTAATTTTCAACTCTTGCTCTAATAGCCGTTGCTAGGATAATATTATGCAGACTGTAACTGTCGTCCTTAAAGATATACTATGCTCAAATTTGATATTTGAAAATATTGATAATTGCTTCACAGTCTCTTTACAAATATGAAATAAACATGTTTTGACTTCACACAAAGCATATATGTTAATATGTTTTAAACTCTACACACTACAGGTTGTCACAATATGGATATATAGTGTCATTAAAAAAACTGGCACTTTTTTTAAAGAAACGACCAACTTTATTTGACATGTAATATGGAACGCAGCTTCCCATATGTAGTTTATTTGTTCTTTTATTCAAATTTGACATATTCAGTAAGAATTACATCAATTTCAATAAATTTCTGTGATTAAAATATTTTACTCAAGGATGAGCATAGTATATCTTTATTCAGACTAATTCAAACGAAGCCTAACACATTTTCATTTTTTCCGCGAATTCCCGACCTTGAATATACATATACAGTTCTCTTTTCACTATTTCACATCATTCATTTAATACACATTGCTTTATCAACATGGAAGTTAATAATCCCTAAGAAACTTTCAGTTCTTTTTAAATCTGTATCAATACGTCACTGGATATTAAAAAGCGCTTCCAAAACTCAACAATCAAAAGAAGCGCATTTTCAGGTTTTACTAACCTGTATTTGGGTCCTTTAGGGAGAAGAAAGTTTTCTCGTTCTGTGTGGTTCGGTATGGGACAGGTATTGCGGCTAAAGGACCCTGTGTATTAATAATGAATTTTATTTAGCATATAGGAAGATAAAAAGAAATTTTAATTTTACCTAAAAAAACTGTTTAACATACAGGAAAAAAAAAAACGATGTTTGTTTTTAAAATCTTTGTCAGATTAATGGCGGTTGTAACCTTTATTTGTTTTTCCCTTTTTTTTCAAAATAAATAAAAACATATAGATACAATGTGTTTTACATGACACAAAGTTATTGCAAGAGCTAGCTAAATCAAATAATAATAATAATAATAAATAATAATAATAATAAAAAATAATATATAAACGACAATAACAGTAATGATATGTTTTTCTATTCAGAAGTTTAAACGATTATATATTTCAGTGTGGCCTATTATATGTAGGCCTATGTAAAAATAACGAGCGTGACAGAGAAAGCACAGTACAACACATGCAAACGAATTGCCAATATTTACCTTGCAAACCTCTCTGAACTTTAAGAAGTGACATCATCACTTCTTGACCACGTGAGCAGTTTATACCAACCACAGCTGCGCCCTGATCTTCAAGACGCTTGAGTGCTTCTGGGATAGGAATATCATCCGTTGTAAAGTCCGGAATATGTGCCGCCATTGTGATCACCGCCGGACAACCTGATCTCAAAAGGTAAATAAGAAGTAAATGTACTACAGTGTATGTCTTTTTTGCATATGTTTGTAATTAAAAGATCTTACTTTTGATCAGGAAAGTGATTTGCTGACTGTATTGTCGCTGTATTGAACTTGTCTAACGCTTCTTTTTGCATAGATTGATATCTAATGTGTTTTTTCCAGGTGTTTTTATTGATGAATCATAAAGCATTATTAGGTAAATGTAATCCAGAATATTTTATTGCACCCAATAAAATTGATGATTGTGGTGTCCGGAACATGGCAGTAAGTTATACATTTGATCAAGTTACATTTGATTAACCAGATCACACTTCAGCTACCGCCTCTTTCCTAGGCAGGTAGTTAACTTGTTTGTCAGTACTTGTTGCCTTCACATACGCAAGGAACTGGTAACTTCTGTTCATGCCAGAGAAGAGGTATAGTGTGAATGACCGTAAAAGGATTCCATGATCAATGACAACGAAAGTGACATGCATTGTCTGGGAATCGAGTCTAGGTCGCCCGATTCACACTACAACGCTCTACCTGTAACATTACCATTTACAAATTCTCTTATAGCCCTCAGTTGGACAAATACAAGTTATACAAACACTTCTTAAAGGACTCTTGAGTTGATCTTACCTTTCCCGTATTCCTTTATAGCCCTCAAGGCGAGCTGTGCCTCACCGTAGGAATCGAATGACTCTCCAATTATATAATCTACCCCTCCTTCAACACACCAAATCACTTGCTCCTGACATTTATAAAAGTGCATTTCCATAACTAAAATATCATTAAGCAAATATTTTCTTTTACGCAGAATATTTAGTCCGGCAAATGACGAAGTGGCTTGTCAGCATTCAGAGATGAGTTAGTCAAGTGGTTAAAATGTGTGTCTTCGTTTGAGATGCCATGATTGAATTTTCCTATTTGGAAGTGTTCCTTAATTTATTCCAGGAAACAAACGCGAGATTGGTACAATCTTCAAGCTTTCATTAAATTAAACTTAAATAAATTTGTTTACTTATACTAACACAATTTTAGCACATCAAATGATGTTTTAAAGATCTATTTTCTTATCCAATCGTATTATATTCAAATTGCAAGTTTTTGTTAAAACGTCAATATATTTATATCACGTGATGAAAATGACGTCACCTTGGATATTTCATATATCGTTTGATGACTTTCCTTGTCGTCCTTAGAATACAAAGGTGTGTCAGACAGACCTCCTGCAATCAGTTTACCGTACTTGTCAGCAACTCGCCGTGCAATTGTAAGTGCATCCCTGTTAAGTTTTTCTGATTCGTCTTCACGTCCTTGCAGCTTCATAAATGCTCGGTGTCCAAAATACTGTCAATTTATAGATAGTAATATAATTGATTAATATAATTATGTAAAGAAACGCATGGACGTACTGCCATAGGGACAGCATATGACGTCCCTATTATTTTCGGCGTATTTGCCATATGGACGGCTTTTGCCGTTTCTATAATAATAATAATAATAATAATAATAATAATAACAAGCAATTATCATAGTATTGCAAGCAATCCATAAGTCCCCTACCGGTTAGAACCCCAGCAACATTCTGATGGGCCATTGGCCATTCAACCAGTGAATGAATGACATGAATGAACTTAAATCTTTTGAGTTCTAAGTTTGTCTATATCACAGTAATGTGTTAAGTTTCCATACCTAGTAAGGAAATTATGTTTATACAACCCTGTCATATTATTATGATGTGGGATTTTGAAGTAAATCCTATAAGGAATGAAGAAGTTGGAGTGAAAAATACCAATTTCTCGAAAAAAATCTAAGTTCAAGGGGGACATAATTCTGGAAATAGTCTTGCTAGAGTATTTAACCTTCTCAAAAATGTTGAGTGATAATAAGATACATATATATGAAGTTTGAAGTAGATACATTAGGAAATAAAGAAGTTATTTAAAAAAGACAACATTTTTTTTTTTCATAAAAATTCTAAGTTCAAGGGAGGTAATACTGATAATTTTTGTGCTAGAGTTGTAAACCTTGTCACATATGATGTGGTTGATGACCAGAAACTTATATTTAAAGTTTGAAGTAAACACCTTTAGAAATAAAGAACTTATAGTGAAAAAGCTGAAAAATTTAAATCAGAAATCTTGAAATTCAGGCTATTTGTTGCCATAGCAACCAGAATTTTCAACATAGGAAGAAAAGAAAAAGATGTGCATAATCTCCAGACTCCCATCTACCCATATTTCAAGTTTCATAAAAATATTTTCAGTACTTTTTGAGTTATCACTGGATCCAGTTTATGTGTTAAATTTGCCATATTTTTAGACTATTTGTTGCCATAGCAACCAGAATTTTCAACATAGGAAGAAGAAAAAAAGACGTGCATAATCTCCATACTGCCATCTATCCATATATCAAGTTTCATAAAAATATTTTCAGTACTTTTCAAGTTATCGCGGGATCCAGTTTTGTGGACGGACGGACGGACGGACTGACGGACTGACAGACATACGGACGGACGGACGGACAGACGGACGGAGGGTAAACCTTTAGTCCCCTCCGAATAAACCGGTAGGGGACTAATTATAATAATTATAATAATGATAATAATAATAATAAATATATAGATAATTATACCATCGACAATAATTATCATATACTATCAGATTTGGAAACATATATAATTATTATAATACTAATAACAAATAATAATAATTATATTAATTAATAATATAGTAATTTCTTAGAAAACCTTCTGGCAAATAGCTGATCAATAAATAAATAACCCTCTGGCAGCAAAAGGGTTAAAATAGAAAAAACGGAATCCTAAAAGAACGGTCGATACGACAAAATTGAAAATGTTACAGGATCGGTTTGAGCCTGTTCATGGACGGTACTAGGAAGTGAAGGTTAAGGTTACCGTGCACGGCCTCGAGCAACAGCTTAATCAGAATTCAACACTTAGAAATGAAAATGGTGAAAGTTTCAAGTCATCCGGCGAATATTATTAATTATCTTTATTAGGGTATGATTTTTTTTATATATTACTGCTTAATAAAACAGTAGAAAATATGTATGTCGACACATGATTTAATCGTGTCAACTAAGCAAAATCTTAATGACTCCGTGTTATATGTGCTCCGTTTTGCATAAACATTACAAGTGTAATTTTGGGGTATCTCTTCAGGGGTATCAATATATACAAAATCTTCTCTTCAGGTTCGATCATATGCAGTTTATTGACAAACCAAATGTTTACATTATTTACAACAGCTCATCTGACATATTCACAAAGTATACCGGTACATCTTGTAAACCAACCACCAGTCTACGTAATCATATAAGCATGTGAACAAGGTAGGCACTGAAATAGTAAATAGTAACAATCCTTACCAAATGATTGGAGATTCTTATAAGTCATATAAAGAGTTATCTCTCTTTTATATCGTTCATAATAAATATACATTTTACCTGGAGTAGGTAAATACCCAAACTAACTCATGGTTCAAATCCACAGATATTTATACATCTCCAATTATATCAATAACATAGTTCATAGCTAAGTTCATAGTTCTTAATCATAGCAGTCCATTACTCAATGAAACAGTGGTCCCTGTACTTACATTTAGTTGTAACAATGCAAAAGTTATTAGAATTCAATAATTCATCAAAGTACCTAATATATTTAAAACATTACTCTCATAGAAATAAAATATCAACTTACAGATCTGTAGGATCTTTAACCTTTTACACAAATAAGATATACGCCATCATCCACACAAATCCACACAAATGAATCTCACCGAGTGCTGCTGTGAAGAACAATGCATTAATTATTATATACATGCAAATTAGTTGAGATAAGTAAAAGATAGAATAATTAGAATAAAAATATTTTTGCTTGTTGAGAGTAAGTACAGTTACTGTAATTTAGTGTTGTGTATAAAGTCAAAATATCACTTGTAGCTTTTATATAATTACCTTCATATCATTTATTTATATTACCATTAGAGTAACTCTACCAAGTTATTTGAAACTTGAATAATGCACCTTAAGACTATTTCAACATAATTAAGTGATTCAATTTCCATGTGATATGTCTGTGCTTGATAAACATTTAAGGGAAGATAATTGATTTATAAATTAATACTTCTGTATATACTGCAATTGTGTACCTTTTGTCACTGACAAAAACATTGAACAAAACAAAGTAGATATTAAGAACTATGAAAAAGGTAACATTTTTTAACAGAATGTTAAGATGCACTGTCCGAAATATAATTGTCCGGATACTGTTCTACTTGGAAATCATGAGAATCCTTCTCCTCCATAAAACGACATAAGATAAGTGTTAAAATGAAAGTTATCTGCACTGGGGTCATTATTGGACAGTATAGATGTGTGAGGGTACATGGAATCCACAAATGAATAATAATTATCGCATGGTTTGGAACTTTTTTTCCTTTGTTCTTACTAGCCCATTATTCTCAGTACACTTCAATGAGCATTTTGAAAACTGTATTGATATACACATGTATAACAGTACAGTTTTTTCATTGATTTCATACAGGAAAATTCGACTGTTGTTTATCGGTTGAGTTTTTTTTCGCACCTTGTATATATCAATAAAGTTTTTTTTCATAGAGGCTCCAATGGGGCAGTGGTAACGACCATTCCCAGTAGCAAAAAAAATGGAATCAGTAAAATAAAATAAAATAAATATATAAATACAATGAAAAATATTAACAAAGATAATTAATGAAATGAAATTTACTCTCATTTAATCAAAAGGTACATCCGCTGAATTATTTCCTCTGAAAAAAAGCCCTTTACTCTTTAATCAATATTGGTAACAGTTTACAATCCGCCTCTAACATTGGATGTATTTTGTATATTTTTTTTGCGGCAGCGAAAACAACTTGAAAAAACTGCCTTATCATAAATATCTGTAATGTAGCTAACGATTTATCTATTTATTTATTTATTTGTTTCTAGTACAAAAAAGAAAACATTATGTCATTGCGATAAAACAGTTATAGTATATGAAACTCGTTAGTTAAGGGGGTATAACACTGGCTGGGGCGACATCTCAGGATGTTTCTGCAAAGAAAAATTTAGCAGAAACACCCCTTGATGTCGCCCCAGCCAGTGTTATATCCTCGTAACTAACTCGTTGCATGTACTATAACTATAACATAACTGGTCTGTCCCATTTTTTCACTAGCCGGAAACTGTTTATGTATTGCACGTATGGTGTGTGTTCTTATACCTTGGAACACGTAGCAAAGCACAACTTGCCTGAGTAACAACAATTTAGAGTCCTTTTATAAAACGTCATTATCACTAGTGAAAGCTTTAAAGTCGAAAAATTAAAAATGTAAACAAATGCCTCTCTAGGTCATATACCACCAAATCAATTATGATGCATTCGAAAATAAACTCTCGTATATCACGTGATGAAACGAAATGCAATTATCGTTTAGTAACACACTATATGCATCTTTTTTGTAAAAATGTGCCTTTGTAGACAGCATTTGGAATCAATAAACGCTGAGAGACAAACAATTTATCCCCATTACCGCCTGAGCATTTTGTGAAAAATGGCCGTTTTCATCGAAAAGTTTCCTGTTACAAGTTCAATTGCTATGAAACTATAAAAATGCTTCAATACACATCAATCTAGGGACAAATATTGCCTGGACAATTGCTTTTATGACAAAATGCTCAGTCGTACATTTCCTATTATGCTGGCAACGAGGGGACATCTTAAAATTGCCAAAATTCATTATTTTGCTGTTCTTTTTTAATTAAAAACTGAATTTAAGGTGCTGCAACTTATAAATTGATTGAGATATAGTCAGATACTACCCAGTGTTGATTACACACTACCCTAAAAACGACCTGATGATCTTTTTTAGCCTCTCAAAAGTCTAATTAAAGATGAGGGAGACTGCTGGCAATCTTCAAACCCCCGAAAAGAAGGGGGCACATCCCACTCTTGCGCCAAAAATGTGATCAATTTTCTAAATAACATTTCTCAAAACGAAACAAGTGTTCAGGGGCTTAAATTTAAATAGGACATTTGTTACCAATTCAGGCTTAAAAAATTTGTGTTAAAAAAGCGATAATAGGCGTTTATGAGGGAATGGTTAATTTAAATTGTTGCAAAGAATAACATGTGTTCCCCCACTCAATGATTGAACTCAAAACACGAGTCCTTCAATGACATAAGTCAACTTCCTTTTTGCAGTTGTGCTTAGACTAAATTGCATCAAAAAACATACCCCTCAGAACGAGATAGAGTACGTTTGTCAACCTAACTTCTTACACAAAGCAAATGATCTGAACAT